CTTATATACGGAATATAATGAACATAACAGTCTGAGGAATACAGTAGACCCAGAAACATGGAAGTAGGGCGCAGACTGACATCCCTCATAAGAGGGGGTGGGGGGGGTGCGAAGAGATAAACCACAGAACTTATATGCATGTATGCATGACCAATGGACATGGACAACTAAGCCGGGGACGGGGCGGGGGTGAGGTGGGGGGGTGCCAATGGGGTAAAAAAGGTAAAATATCTGTAACAAAAAAATAAATAAAAAATTTATTGAAAATAAATAAAATAAAATAAAATATGAGAACCTATCATGGTTCTTAAAAATAAAAAAAAATAAAAAAAATGGAAGGATCATTACTACAATAAAGGAGAAAAATACTCTATTAGATTTCAAATGTAAATAAATTAATCAATTCAAAATGCATTTTTTTCTTCAGGCATTTTATACCTTCCCATCTCTTGAATGGTTCTTCTGGTTATGAACTCCCAGGCCTTTTCTCAGTAACAATCAGTCAGTCAGTCAAGTCGATTGAGCACCTACTGAGTACCTTTACCAAGTACTATGTAAATGAAAGGCAAAACAGTTAAACAAGTAAGCAAGCAAAGAGGAAAGGGTCTCCCATGCTCAAGAAACATACAATCAAGTGAGAAAGATCAAGCATTCAACTGAAATGGTTGAAGTACCCTTTTACTAAGTGATGACTTGTCTAAATTAGTAAGTGTACATACTCCTGAAATCTGAAAAATTATGCCCAATCATCTGAGATGTATCCCAGGCAAAATATGGTTCTTGACTGCATTATTGCTTTGCATCTTTGTTCTTGCTGTTTCCATTGCCTAGGATTCTCTTGCCCTCCATCTTCACCTGATGAAATTCTCTTGCTTTTGTGGTCTAGTTCAAAGACTTCCAATTTCATGATGCCTAGGCTTACTCTATTTTGACTTATGTGTTGCACTGGAAAATACAATCCACCTAGCGCTCTATCCTAGAATTTCATGATCTAAACTTCTTTCACCTCTTGATCACTTCTCTTCTGTCCCCTTTGGTGTCTCTTCTTCTTTTTCCAACTGTGCCTTGAAGATTGAGCAACAGGGAATTATGATTCTATGGTCCTAATTGCCTTACTCTTGTGACCTCGAGGCTTTATCTCCCAGTAATTGCACCTTACACTCCTTACTGAAGCTCCAACTCAACTAAGCTCTATTTCTTGAGCTAATTTCTGGACATATCCATCTGGATGTCACTATCATCTCACACTCAACATGTCCAATCTGGACTCATCTTCACCTCTATTCTCTATACTTACACTGATTTTCTTACTTAAATACTAAACTTGCCATGTATTATGAGCATCTTGGGCTCTAAATGGTGATGTCTTTTTGATTCAATCATTTCTTTTTCACAAATATCCAGTCAGACAGATCAGGGCTTAGCTCAAGTCTTATGTCTTCCATAAAGCTTGTCTTCTCTGCTCCAGGGCCTGGAGTTTCACACACTTCACATTTGCCTGCACTACTCAGTTTATCTCTTAATCACGAATGGGGCATATGTAGATATTTAACTGTTTTGTAGGCTAAAATAAAGTCTTGTTGTTCTTTACTTAAAATGGTTCTCATTTTCATCTCTTCCTACACTTCAGCTCCTGCCTCATCTGGTCTCCTCATCTCCTCTCACCTATTTTAGAACATTAACACCCTAGGTGTCCTCCCTTCAACACAGTACATTTCTCCACCCTGTCACTAGTGTTTATGCTCACAAAGACTGCTCTTTTTCCTTTCTCTGCTGAGCCAAATCCTCCTTATCTTCTAAAAGTGGGGTAATTGCCCACCTCTACTGGGAAATCTTCCTGGATCTTCCAACCCAACTGGAAGTTTCTGTACATCGGGAGGGAATGTTGAATATAGGAGAAAAAAAATGAACCTTGGGTTTAGACCAACCTGGGTTTGAATCCCAGTGATGTTATTAACTATATGACCTCAATTTCTCTGATCCACAGTATCTTTTTTCCCAATTTTTATTACTTTATTTTTGTTACAGATGTTTCTACTTTTTCCTCCCTAGATACCCTCTTCCCCATCCTGCACCCCTCACCTCCCAGCATTGTTGTTTATGTCCATTGGTTACACACACATGCATATAAGTTCTTTGGTTTAACTCTTCCCTCCCCCTTCACCCCCTTCTCTGAAGCTTGTCAGTCTGAACTGTACTCCTTTCTATGTCTCTGGGTCTATTTTGTTCATCAGCTTATTTTGTTCATTATATTTCACAGATCAGTGAGATCATGTAGTATTTGTTATTCTCTGGTTGGCTTATTTTGCTTAGCATAATGCTCTCCAGGTCCCTCCATGTCTTCTCAAAGGATAAGATATATTTCTTTCTTACAGCTGCATAGTATTCCATTGTGTATATGTACCACAACTTTTTTATCCACTCATCTGTTGATGGACACTTGGGCTGTTTCCAGATCTTATTAATTGTAAATGGCGCTGCTATGAACATAGGGGTATATATATTCTTTCGGATTGGTGTTTCAGGCTTCTTAAGATATATTCCTAGAAGTTAGATCACTGGGTCAAATGGCAGACCAATTTTAAATTTTTCTTTCTTTCTTTTTTTAAAGTGGGAGGGAGAGAGAGGAAGAGAGAGAGAAATATTGATGTGAAAGGGACACATCGAGTGGCTGCCACCCACACGACCCAACCAGGGTCGGGGACAAACTGCAACCGAGGTACGTGCCCTTAGCGGGAACCGAACCCGGGTCTCTCTGGACCGCAGACCAATGCTCCAACTGCTGAGCCAAACCGGCCAGGGCAATTTTAAATTTTTTGAAGAAACACCATTTTTTCCCCATAGTGGCTGCACCACTCTGCATTCCCACCAGCAGTGTACCAGAGTCCTCTTTTCTCCACACGCTTGCCAGCACTTGTTGTTTGATGATTTGTTGGTGGCAGCCATTCTGGCAGGTGTGAGGTGATACGAGCCTCAGTTTCTTTATCTATAAAAAATGAGTAAATAATTTATCTTGTCAAGTTATTTATTAAATGAGATTATTTATATAATGTGTCTGGAACATGGTAATGATGATTATTATCAAGTAGGTCTTGAGTATCCTCCAAGTCTGATACATTACACAAATTCAGGGGCTGTCTTTGTGAATATTTCCTGTTACAGTTCTGAAGTGTATAACTTGCATATGGTACCCTAGGTCTAATGTATCTAGTATTGATTGTTTGCTAAGTTATTTATATGTGTTTTAGTGTTTAACAATCTGTAAGCTTCTGAAGAGAGGATGGGGGAGAGAAGTGCTAATTCTCTTGTACATGTCTTATATACTGATACTTCTTTAGCTCCAACTCTTACCACCATCAACTTCTGCCAGAGAGCTCTTTAGATACTTTTCCATAACCAGAAGATAGTATACTGAAACCCGAAACAAGGCTCTCACCAGAACCTCACTGTACTGGTACCCTGATCTAGAATTTCCAGTTCCAAGAGCCATAAGAAATACATTTCTGTTTTTTTATAAGCTACTCATTCTATGGTACTTTGTTATAGAAGTGCAAATGAACTACGACAATGACTGAATCTCTAATGTCTACTCATCTACTGAAATACTTTGTGTATCATCATGTGCATTGTGCTAACATTCTCTGTTTCCTAATAGGGGTGTGGTCTTGGGCAAATTTCTTAATCATTCTGTGCCTCTGGTTCCTTATTTGTAATATGGATATATTAAGAGTACTTCTCTCAGTGTTTTGTGAGGATTAAATGACATGCTTCTACCACTTGGAATGTTCTCTCTCAGATCATCTTAGGGCTGGCTCTTTCTTCACATTCAAGACTCATTTCAAATGACAAGATCTCAGAGGCCTTTCCTGATTGCTTCAACTCATTTTCCAATTTCTCTCATTTCACCATGTTTTAAGTTCTCCATGATATTTGTTGCTATTTAAATTTCTGTTTCTTTGCTTGCTAACTGTGTGACATCCATTTATCTGAGACTTGGTTTCTATTCACTGCCATATCCTCAGTGCATAGAATGGCAACTGGAATGTAGTAGCACTCAATGCATATTTGTTGAATACATTTATTTACTCTTCCAGTCTTTGAAAAAACCCAAACCAATAGATTGCCAAACTTGGGTGAAAATATCCTGATCACATAAATCAGGGCACAAAACTCCTTTCAAAGTATTATCAGTCTGTGACTAAAGTATAAGAGCCAGCCCTTGTCCTCAGGAGCTTACTATCTAGTTAGTGGGATGTGACTTGAGTGATTCTTAGACCCATTGGTGGCTTATATATCACTAATGCAGCCTTTGCCTTCCATGGATAAAAAGTGATACAGCCATAGATCAAACTAAGAAGATATGTAGTTAAGACCTAATTTGAATGCTGCAGAGTATAAGTGAAATGAAGATACAGAGTGAGGGATTCAGCCAGGGGAACTTAAAGAAGAGAGGTTATCCTAGAGAAAAGAGACCACGCACTGATGTTTAAAAAGCACTTAGAAGAGTGTCTGCCCCATAGTAAAAGCCATATTATATATATACTTATTAATTAAACCCCCCCGGCTGATATTTTTATGCCATCAGAACTTTATTTTTGCTTTGAAAAAGATATAAAAATATAAAAATACTTTTTTCTGTAAAGTTAACACAGGCTACCCTTTCTCAAAAGCCCTCATAAGAGGGCCAGAAGAACACTTACTTGCCTGATATTAGTAACTACTATATGCTAATGTTATTTATTTTTTAAAGACTCTCACTGATTTCTAGACAGAGAAGAAGGCAGAGGGAGAGAGAAACATTGATGTGAGAGTGCATGATCAACCGGCTGCCTCCTGCATTTCCCCCACCAGGGATTGAGCCCACAACCTGGGCATGGGCCCTGACCAGATTTCAAACCAGCAATCTTTTGGTGCATGGGACAACACCCAACCAACTGAGCCACACCAGGGCTATATACTAATTTTAGAAAGAACATCAACAGGAGATGGCAAACTGAGGATCACATGAACTCAAGCAGATTGTCTGAACAAAGAGAGCAATCCTTAGAAATATTCACAAAGAAAGACGACTACATAGAATGGACCTTCTCAGCCCCTGCTTGGTGATGTGGGGCCTGGGTATGCTCTCCTTCACTGAAGACACATGGTGGACAATTGCATTTGGGCCTTTGACTGTGACAAGGTGAACACCTCATAGCCTGTCTCACCATCCTGGGTTGTGGTCTCTATCTCACTGGCTTCTTTCATGGAGTCAGAAGTAGTGAGCCATGGGGAGTGCTGAAGGGCAGTGCATGACACTGGGAATTAGTACTTAGATGAGGTAGACTTGGAAGCATAGTGTATCTCAGAGCAGTACATAACTATATACTGAGAGATAGCCTTGGTCCTGATGCCACATTCTATAATGTTAGGTAAGCTTATAGATATGTGGCTGAATATGATTGACAGGTCGGCCCAGGCCCAAGTGTAACTCATGAAAGTGTGTGTGTGTGTGTGTGTGTGTGTGTATATATATATATATATATATATATATATATATATACTGTTCAACATGAAGAGGTGTACCCTAACCATGAACCAGTCGATCGAGCAGAGTACAGTAACTGGATTTTGCCTGAAACAGGCCAAAAACAAAGAGATGACCATCTGTCCTAGCAACTCGAATACTTTCATCCCTGTAGCTTATTGTGTAATGACTTTCAAGAAACAGGAACTTCTATAGTACACAGAAATACAAAACAAATCATCTTATTTCCTATCAAAAGTTCAAATATGATTATTTTTCAAAAAACAAAAGGCCATTCCTAAAGCATTAAAAAAAAGTATCATATCATTCACAGGATGGGCCTGTGAACCATCTGCCATTCCAGAGAGAGAGCAGTTGAGAAGAAATCATGTGTAGATTAGAGGCTGTCGCTTTCTGTCTCTTAAACAAGCACATCTTGGATTCTTACTGCAGTCTAAATGAGAGACGGGAATCGAACCCAGGACTCTCTGGTGTGCAGGCCAATGCTCCAACCGCTGAGCCAAACCGGCCAGGTGAGAGCAGGCATGCCGAGACTGGAGGTTCCACAGACTGGCCAGGGGCGCATCCTGAAAATGTGCTAGGGTGAGGATAAGAGAAAAAAGAAGGAAAGAGGTGCTGTTGGCCTGAAGAAAAAGCCACGAACGTTATCAGGGTGGCTCTGGAAAGGAGATCCTTGAGCTGGGCTTGGAAATTTTTACACATCGCACAGACAGGTCACAGGACACTCTCTTGTGCAGAGAGGGACCTGCCTGTGCAGAGATGTGGAACATAGCCTTCGCCCTCTCAACCATTCTGAAGTGCACAGATCAGCAGTGTTGGTACATTCGCAGTGCTGTGCCACGGATCTCCAGGACGTCCGTTGCCTAGCAGAACCAGAACGCTGTGCCCATCTTGCGCTAGTCTTCATTCCCCCTCCTCCCAGAGCATAACGTACAGTCGTTGTTTTTGTGTGACTGGCTCATTTCACTGAGCGTAATGTCCTCAAGGTTCATCCATGCTGTGCCATGTGTCAGAATTTCCTTCCTTTAAGGCTGATAATGTCCCATTGTGTTCTGGACCATTCATCCTTCCATGGACATTTGACAGCTCCTTTAACTCTCCTCTGCGTGGTTGTGATGCCTCTCAACTGGCTTTTCCAGCCCCAGTCTTCGGATTCCTTGCGCTTGCCTCAGCCCGCAGAGGCCTCTTTCTAAGATGGCCAGCTCACTCCCCTACTTAAAATCTGGCAGACTTCAGACCTTTGTCACTCCTTGGCATGTTTGCAGTATCCTCCCCATGTGGCTCCTTCACCTTGCAACTCTGTCCCTCCCGCAGTCATGCAGTCCCTTGTCCAGGCAGGTACACCTCTACCCGACGTTCTCCTCTTCCAAACACACTGGCACCTTCATGCCTCTGTATGTCAGGTGTCCGTGCAGGGGTGTCTGAGTCTACTACCTATGAGGCTCTTCTGGATCCACCCTCCTCTACTCTATCTGTTAATCAAACCAAGAAGAGTCTAGCACAAGGGTTGGCCAATTGTGTCCAGTGGCCCAAATCCAGACCTTTGCCTGTTTTTATAAAGTTTTATTGGAAAAAAAAACACAAAATAAAAAAGAGAATAGAATTTACATGTTTCACCTAAATAAGGTAAATATGTAATGTGTTAATTAACTTGTTGGGGGAAATCCTTTCATAATGTACATTTATGTCAAATCATCACATTGTATACTTTAAATATCTTATAATTTTATTTGTCAGTTATACTTCAATAAAACTGAAAAAAAAAAGAAAAAAGAAAAGGAAAACATTCTTGTAAAAAGTAACTAAATTTTAATTTCATTGCTGGAATTTACATTTATGCATGACTACAACAGCTTCTTTAAGTGATTTTACCATACTGTTTTGGTATAAAATACATATTCCTTATATGAGGGTCCATACTTATCAGAAGTGGCATCATTTTGTGTGTAACCCCAGCTGAAAAAGAAATAAAAAAAAGTTTCATGCCAAACATTAAATAAGGAGACAGGAGATTTAGTTTAATTCAAACAGACAGCACTTGCCTCCTTAAGGGCCCCAGTGCCCTCCCATGTGCCATAATAATGAACCTCTCCCTATTGTATTTTTTGGTTAGCAACAAATTTAATTAAATAAAACCTAAGAAGAAATGATGGTTTATTCCTGATAAGCAAATATTGAAATTTTTCAGAGTGGTTCCCTTAAACTCATCAAAGGAAGGCTTCAAAAACTTTAGCAGTAGCATTGTAAGTTATGGCCAATAGATTCCTTGGTATATCAATTGGGATACTTGTAAAAGAGTGAAATTACAGAAACAAAAATACTCTTTATAATTTATATATATGTGTGTGTTTGTGTTTATTGATTTTTTTTTTTTTTTTTTTTTTTTTTTTAGGAGAGAGAGACAGAAACATTGCTGTAAGAGAGAGACATCGATCGATTGGCTGCCTCCTGCATGTCCTCTACTGAGGATGGAGCCCACAACCCAGGCATGTGCCCTGACCAACCAGGCTAATTTTATATTTTTTGATCCATATTATATATGAAAACTACTTAAATGTCCTATATTAAAGAAAGAGGGTCTTGGGTTTGTATTTTATACATTGATTGAAAAGTTATTTTCTAAAATATCCTTTCTGGCAATGGTTGACACCTCATTGAGTTACATGCTTTGCTTTATATTTTTCTTTTAGTTTCACTAGCTTTCCATTCAAAAAAAATTTTTTTTAATAGGAAGCTCTGTGGCTACCTCATAGTCCCATTGTCTTTTACTTCCTAGAAAGTGACTGGCAGAGTAGTATGAAGAAAAAATGAGTAATGCTAAGAACAAGTGTCTAAAAGACATCAGAAACAGGTGACAAATGAAGAAGGAAGGAAGAGGAATAACATAAAAATTGTCCCACTTAGCTTTCATTTTATTTTCTTTTTTAATTTATTTTTGTTACAGATGTTTCTCCTCTTTTGCCCTTTGAACCCTCCTCCCCCTTCCTCCCCACACTGTCCCCAGCCCTGTTTTCCATGTACAGTGGTTACATGTACATGCATATAAGTTCTATGGTTTATCTCCCCCCCTTCTGGGAATTGTCAGTCTGTACCCCACTTCCACGTCTCTGGGACTACCCTGTTCCTCAAACTGTTATGTTCATTATATCCCACAAATAAGTGAGATCGTATGAGACTTATCTTTCTCTGCTTGGCTTGTTTCACTTAGGATAATACTTTCCAGGTCCCTCCATGTCATCTCAAAGAATAAGAGATCTTTCTTTCCTACAGCTGTATAGTACGGCATTGTGTGTAAGTACCACAACTTTTTTCTTTTCCTTTTCTTGTTTTATTTATTTATTTACATATTTATTTACTTATTTATTTATTTATTTGCTTTTGCTACAGATGTTTCTCATTTTCCCCCCATTGACAACCTCCTCCCCTTTCCCACCGCCTAATCCCCAGCTTTGTTGTCTAAGTTCATTGGTCATGCATACATGCATGTCACTTCCGTGGTTTATCCCTCTCCCCAAATTCCCTCCTCTGAGGCTTGTCAGTCTGCACCCCACCTCTATGTCTCTGGGTTAATTTTGTTCAGCAGTTTGTTTAGTTCATTATACACCACAGATAAGTGAGATCATGTGATATTTGTCTTTCTCTACTTGGCTTGTTTCGCTTAGCATAATACTCTCCAGGTCCTTCCACGCCATCTACAAGGATAAGAGATCTTTTTTTCTTACAACTGCATAGTATTCCGTTGTGTACAGGTACCACAGCTTTTAATCTTTTTTATATTTATTTTATTTATTTATTATTATATTTATTTATTTATTGTTTATTTTTATTTTTTTTGTTACAGATGTTTCTCATTTTTTACCCCATTGGCACCCCCCTCCCCTTCCTCCTTGCCCCATCACCAGCTTTGTTGTCCATGTCAATTGGTTATGCATACATGCATATAAGTTCTGTGGTTGATCGCTTCCTACCCCCCCTACCCCCTCTTCTGAGGGATGTCAGTATGTGCCCCACTTCCATGTTTCTGGGTCTACCGTATTCCTCAGACTGTTATGTTCATTATATTCCATATATAAGTGAGATTATGTGGTATTTGTCCTTTTTTGCTAGGCTTATTTTACTTAGGATAATACTTTCCAGGTCCCTCCATGTCGTATCAAAGGATAAGAGATCTTTCGTTCTTACAGCTGTATAGTACTCCATTGTGTATATGTACCACTGCTTTTTATCCATTTGTCTACTGAGGGACACCAGGGCTGTTTTCAGATCTTAGCTATTGTAAATGCTGCTATGAACATGGGGGTACATATATTCTTCCTGATTAGTGTTTCAGGCTTCTTAGTGTATATTCCTAGAAGCGGGATCACTGGGTCACATGGAAGTTCAATTTTTAATTTTTTGAAATGACACCATATTCTTTTCCACAGCGGCTGCACCAGTCTGCATTCCCACCAGCAGTGTACTAGAGTTCCCTTTTCTCCACACCCTCACCAACACTTGTTTGATGATTTGTTGATGGTGGCCATTCTGACAGGTGGGAGGTGATACCTCATTGTTGTTTTAATTTGCATCCCTCTAATGATTTGTGATGTTGAGCATTTCTTCATATGTCTCTTAGCCATTTGTATGTCCTGTTTGGAGAGGTGTCTGTTTAGTTCCTCTGCCCATTTTTTAATTGGGTCCTTTGTCTTCCTTTTGTTGAGTTGTATGAGCACTCTATATATATTGGAAATTAACCCCTTATCTGATATATTATTGGCAATTATGCTCTCTTATACACTGGGTAGCCTTTCCATTTTCATGATTGTATCTTTTACTATACAGAAGCTTTTGAGTTTGATGTAGTCCCATGTGTTCATTTTTTTCTTTGTTTCTGTTGCCTTAGGTGATGTGTCAGTGAAAATTCTGCTGCGTATTATGTCTGAAATTTTGTTGCCTAGATTTTCTTTTAGGATTTTTATGGATTCATGAGTCACATTTGAGTCTTTTATCCATTTTGAGAGTACTTTTGTGTATTGTGTAAGTTAATGATCTAGTTTCATTTTTTTTGCAGGTAGCTATCCAATTTTCCCAACACCATTTATTAAATAGGCTGTCTTTACTCCACTATATGCTCTTGCCATCTTTGTCAAATATTAATTGAGCATAT